CCCGTTAAGCCCTGCCCGCCCTGCCCCATTTAAGTTTTTTCTTTATCCTATCCCTTTTTCTTTTTTTTTTTAATCCCACCTTTCACAGTAACAACCCCTTAATCCTTAAAAATAAGAGCTTCTCTGAATTTTCTTCTTACAGTGAATAGGGTCTTTTTTAGAAGAGTCATCGTCATTTCTAGATGTAAGAAACTGGAACAAATTTGTAGTTAAATCTTCCCTGCCATTCTTATTTCTTCATCTTTCTTATGAATAGCATGATAAACAAGAAATAAAAACTTAATCCCTCACAACTTTTTAGCTACACTGGCATCTTGTTCTAGATATATACAATGGGATTGTGATGATTGAAACTCTTGCATTTTGATTTGATTTTGGTTTAATTTCTAAAATTATTAGTCTAAAAATATGAAGATATATTAAAAAGAGTTTGAATTAATTTTAAAGTAATGAAACATTAACCAAGTCATAACCATACATAACGGTAGGAAAATTTAAGCAATTGAATCAAATGGTAATAGCCCACATACGCTATACACAGGCATCTCTTTAATGGCCCAATTTTTAGCCGGCAAACCAAACCCAAACCTGCCCTGCCCCATTAAAGTTCTTCAAAATGTAAGTTTTACCCTGCCCCGCCCCGCCCCGCCCTTGCCCTGCCCCATTGCCATTCCTAGGTGGAGTGTACGCAGAACTTATCCCTACCTTGTGTGAGATAAAGAGGTTGTTTTGGATAGAACCTCGGCTCAAGAAAAGCGTTTTCAAAACAAGTTTGAAAAAAATACAAGAGTAAAAAAACTATAATGAAAATATTGAAGAAAAAAGAAGTATTGACAGCAAAAATAGTAAAGATAATCAAAGTAAAAGAAATAACGGTAGTAATAAGAAAAAATCAAGAAATCAAGAAGGTGTTTTCCTCCCCACGGGACAAATTCTAAATCTGCTTATCTTGATGTCAGTCAGAAGAATAGTTTCTAATGCATGCTCCACGTTACCACTACAACACATTTAGCCAGTAACAACAGCAGAAGTTTAATTACGCCAGATAGAGTTGCAGAAGCTCACAAATAAAGCAGCAGAACGACAAAATGCAGCTCCGCTAGCACTTGCATCAGCATATTCGTCATGATCAGCCTCTTGAAGATGGCGTTCTCTGACAGCCATCGAAAGAAGACGAGGGTCATTTATGTCAAGCTGAGTGCCAGCCACTGTCCAACCACCACTGAAAGAAAAAATTCATGATTGATGAAATCCATCAGTGACACAGAACAAAGAAGATTTTCAGCTGATCAGATCAAAAAGACATGCTAACAAGCTTGGATTGCTCTTTGACCACAAGAGCACAGCAAGCAGAGAAGCATTAATAACGAACAACACCACAAAAGGAGAAGGAAGGAGAAACATAGCCACTATGGTCCACTGATCGTTGGAAGAAGAAAGGGCAAAAGGTGAGATTAACAATAAAAACTGGCACCAAAAAAGAACCAACTCCTGATTAACGAAGACCAACATACAAACTAGTTGTATATTTTGTGGAGAACTGAAAGATAAAAAGGTTTAACATGTCATAAAACCCTTTAAATGAGGGAAAAGGGTTTTGATGTCTAGTTCAGCTTGTTGTCTCTAGGTTTCTCAAGAAGCTACTTCCTTGGTGAACGGGAAAAAAAATTAGTTCATGATAATGAAGCTGTTTTTTTTCCTCCTTTTTTCTTTTGAAATATCTGAATATGCCGGAATCTCACTGTCACTTCCATACAGACATGTCATTTATATGAGCACCAATGCAATAACAAAAATAGAGGGAAATTCTTTTACATAGTAAACGTGCCGATCAACATCAAAAAGTGATGGTCATTCAACATAGAAAAATACAGATCGACTTATTTATTGTAGAATTACTGTAAATCCTAGATTACCATTATCAAGTTAAGGGAAAGGTCTAAATACAAACAACTGAAACATTATGTTTACAAGGTTTTTAACCCCCCCAGAACAGCTTTTAGGCAAAGAGGAAGCCTATGGGAGGTGTATATCTCAGAGTGAAGAAAACAGGTAGATATCAGTGTATATTGAAATGCAAATACCCACATAGCAACACATTTAAAGGATTAAAAGGAATGATTTTGCAACAACGAATCGAATCCTGATATTAATAAAAAATTATGATAAGACAAAACCTGATATCAATGACAGTTTCTTCCGAGGGAGGAGGCGGCGGTGGAGCAGTATATCCAGGTCGGTAAGTCTGCAGATTGGAGAGAATTCTCTAAATAAACATGTCACTTTGCACAAATAACTAAGTGTGACAGTACAAGAACCAAGCCATAAATCCTCATTACTCAAAATTCAAAGTGCAAGCAACTGATAAATAGATATGTATATTACCTGGTGACAGATCTCACAAGTTATATCTCCCTTCTCATTGCACCATCTCTGAACGCATTTCCTATGAGCATACTGGATTTGTGAAATTCACAGGTGGTAAACAAGAGAAAGAAAAGGAACAGTTAGCCGATCCGTGAAACCCCACAAGTATACAAAATGGGAGAGAAAACATGCTCATCTATGATTAAAACATTTTAAAATATAAGGCTAATTCAAGAGAAGTAAATCAATCAACATGCCTCATCCCAGATCATTTGAGGTCAACTATAAGAGAATCCTCCATACTAAAAGAATTTTCGATTAATGAAGTTTTAGCATCCAAATCATTTTGCAATTTCACAAAGGCAAAACGTTCTTCAGCTTTAGTAGGTAACTTGAGTAAATAAAGTCTTCTATCTTATGCGCTTACAAACACACAACTATATCTAAACAGAACCGCAAATTTCAGATGGGACTTCAAAACAGTTGACAAGCAGGAACATGAACATTGCACGCTGCACATACGCAATGGTGCTGAATCTGTTTCTGGTGTAGAAATGTCTGTATATATGTTTTTCGCTTTAAGGGACCTGTGCAGAAGATACTTGCTAAAACAAATATTCCCTCCGTCCCAATTTATGTGACGTTGTTTGAGTGGGCACGGAGTTTAAGAAAGAAAGAAAGACTTTTGAAACTTGTGGTGTAGAATAAAGCACAGATATTTGTGTCGCTATAAATCATCTCATTAAGGGCACAGTGGGCATTTTAAAGTTAAATTGTTATTTAATACAGAAAGGTAACATTCACTAAAAAGGAAAGAGTATCCATAAAATGGGACGGAGGGAGTAATCACTTTATTTCAGAATTACTGACAGGTCTGAGACATGAGGTACACAAAGTATCAAATGCAACAACCGAATCCAACTAATATTTGCTTGATGACAGTGAATCAAACCAAAGAACAAGAATGACTTCCAAAAAAGGAATTTAAAAATACAAAGAAAAGCAACTAGCTTAAGGATACAATGCTCTTCAACGACCAAGTAAAAGAACCAGGTTCACAACCACCAAATAGGAGCTTAGTGCCCATAGCAAGAATATTAAGGTAGGAGGTGAATATTTACGCCTAGTACCAAAAAGGAGAAGGTAGAAAAATATGTAACCAGATTACCCTTATCAACAAGTAATTACAGCTAGAGATACTGATGCGAGACTTAGCTGGGTGAAAGGCATAAACAATAAGCTTCTGTTAATGTCAACACCTGACAATTTCAAGTTCTTCAGAAGAATTACTGAGATATTTGAAATTTTCAACTTAGATAAAAATAAGATCAACATAATTGACATTTACATGCATAAGCAACTCTGTGATCAATATTCAGTAGCTCGTGAAACAATAAGAGCACAAATTAATCAACTTCACAAAGATACCTTCAAGCTGCCACTACAACTACAAGGAATCTCCAAATTTTTTGGGCTATCTTCTTCCTGGCAAATTCGACATTCCACAGTCTGAATTAGTGGCTCTTCTTCGCCCTCACCCAACGTTGATGGGCCAACTCTGTGAGAATAAGAACTGCCCCCTGATGATCCAGGGCCCCCGGCACCTTGCGGCGAGTGCAGGGATTCAGGTGTGACGATACGATCAGCACACAGAACTGACTGTTCTCCCATTAGCAATTCACTGATGTGTCCTAAGATCACCAAACACCAAAAGCCATCTCACACATAACAAAAGGAAAAAAAGAATGAAACATGGATAAACACACCAATCACAAATATTACTCCAAACATCAAATTCAAGGCTAGTAGCCCTATAAAATTAGATGATTCTTTAGGGAGAATATAGGGTTGTATATCTAGTTTACCTTTATGCAGAGCATTGTATAGGTGCTACTGCCCGTTTGCCTGGCAACAGTTATGACATTTGCCGTTTACATTGAAGACCCCTATGACCCCTTTTTTTTCCTTAATAAAAACTCCAATATCACTATTGTTGGCAAAAAAAGAAGAAGAAGAAGAAATATTCTAGTTTGATTTCCCGAACATAAATCCCACAGCTAAACAACAACGTAAGAATAAATGATAAAAAAGAGTTCCAGGTTTTACTACTAGGGTCAACTAACTACTAATCTTCCCTCTTTAATATTTTTTTTTGGATATGAAACAAACCAATTAATGTACTAGAGTTTCATCTCTCTTTTTTTTTTGGCCAAACGAAAAATTATATTTAACCGTGTGTAAATATGTACAACTAGCACTTCTTGGACTCTTGAGCTAGATCCTCAAACAGACCTCATATAAAACTCTAACAAGCTGGACTACTTCATAGACTACTCCTACGCAACTGGATAACTATTGTGTCTATCTAGCCATCTAGAATGTATAATCCTTTTGTCCTACAATGTGCAACTGCAAGACTATTTCCCTGACTATCATCTTGTAATCTTGTGCTTTCTTATTGAATCTGTGGTTGTTCCTTTCCACCCAGATATGATACACAGTGGCTGCAAAGAGGTATCCTAAGATAGCTTTTCTTGGCCTACTGTTGCTCACCTGTGTTGATAACCATGTGATCTCTCCATCCCAAGTTCCTATTTTTCTATGAAAACCAACCACTGTAGTAGGGCCTTCCATATGTACTGTGAGTAGGGGCAATCAAAAAACAGGTGTGTATGAGTTTCTTCCAACGGTGCTGCACACAGAACACTCTCTTTATCCACTAGTATCCCCCATCTGCTCAATTTGTCAACTGTTGAAAGCCTATGCTGAACAGCTAGCCATAGAATGAGCTGATGTTTTGGAACTAAGCAAGGTACCAGTGTCAGGTTTTTCCAAGGAACCTTTTGGTATTTGGGGTAGCAATGCTCTGTAAGCTTTATTAATGTTAAATTCTCCATATTTGGCGAGATACTGCAGCACAATAGTGATATCAGTACTCATTAAAGAAGTCATGGCTGGTATGGTGAAGTTTTGCACCCATTCTCTTGCATCAAATACTTTCATCACTAGCCAGCTGGCCTGTTTAGGAATGGCCAAAATTGTCAAGTCCCTACCCTTTATGAAATAGTTGTGAACCCATAACACCCATAGTTTCATCTCATTTTGATGAACTTACATGCTATAGCATTAGTATTATACTCTTTAACACAAAATCAAATACTAGTTGTAACATATTACCACAAAGACATGCGGTAGAAAGTTCAAACTCATCGGCTATGAACACAATTCACATACCATTTGAGGGAAAATAACACAAGAATTAGAAGAGCCTCTACCATAAATAAATTAGTTCAAACACTGAAACCAAAATATACAATTTGCTGGAAAAGACAACCTTCTTTAGTTGAATACAATAAACCCCACCCCCACCCCCAAACCCCTACCTAGGAGCCCAACAATAATTCTTGATGACTCTAGCTCTCAACCAAACGTTTGGAGGCGAAGCAAAGTACATTATAATAAACACATGAAAGACTTCATTATTTTCCACCACCTCCATTTTCCTCTATATTCTAGCCATCAAAAAGACTTCTTGACAACAGAAAGACCATAAAATTTCAAGGAATAACTTCTACAACTAGAACCAAACTTGAAAGTTTCCAACTTTGAAGTCATAACTCAGAAAATTGATAACCCAAAAAGGAAAATCTTGAACCCATACAAGAATAACAATCTTGATTGATTTTGGGTTAAAAAATAACAGTAAAAACAGAATTTTGAGGTACCTGAATATGGTATTGATTTTGCTTTCTGAAGCCTGGCAGAGTAGCAATTAAATTTGTACAGTGTTAAAAAGGCTGAGGAGAAGTTGCAACAACTATTGCCTTGATATAAATTAGATTAGAAATGACAAATATTTTAATAGTCGTAATATTTATTTATGAAGAAGATTATTCCTTAGATGATGTTGAGGTGAGGTTTATAGATAACTCCCACCGGTTCACCGACCCTAGGAACTTTCTACAGTATTTAATTACTCATATGTATTACTCCTACTCTCCTTAAAAATGATGATGTTGTTATAAATAGTTTGGATGCTCGTGTTGTTAATAACATAGTTTGTACATTTAATGCTACATTAGATGTCCATATTATGAATAACTTAAAATTAAATTTTCTATTTTATGTTCATTATATTTATTTTTTATGTCTATAAAAGGCTATGTAATTGCAATAAAAATATACACCAAAGTGAAAGAAGAAAAAACTTATTCATTCTTTCTATCTTTTCTTATTTACATTTTACTGCATTGCTTTTATTTTATAACATGTTATCAGCACGAAGCTCTAATTTTATTCTTAACTCCCGCTAAGTTGAGCCATATTTTATTAAGGTATGTATCATTATAATCATTTTATTTATGGCAGTACATATCATATGTTAATTGTTTGCACATTATTTATGCTCTTGGGCATCTTAAATAGTTTAAGTACATTGCAGTGATAAAATAACTATTTACGTCTGTACTCAACTTTTAGAGGACTTTAAAGTCATCAAACTAGCTATGCACTAATGACATACTTATAATATTCATGGACTCCATGGATCAAAACATATCTTTAAGGCATTTTGAAGAACTGTGAGAAATGAATTGACAAGCAATAATTTTATAGTTTAATTACTTTATATTTATTGGAACATATAAATAATGTTAGTCACGTTCAATTCTATTAACACATATATATCAATAATATAAAGTGAAATGAAACAAGTATGTAATTTCTACTTTATGGCAAGAATAAAATGAAATAGTAGATTGTTAACATGATATAGCTCTATTTTCATTTCTTTTACCTTAATCGTTTTGTTTTCATTAATTGTTTATTATTATAATTATTTCTCTAACTTATTCATCTTTTATGATAGTTTTCACTATGTCAAATTTATCAAAACTTGAATTTGTGGCACTTGACATCATCGGGAGAAACTATTATGGGTC